ACCCAATGGCAGCAGACAACAATATTTGTAAAAAACCCCAGTAGTTTCTGATACAACTCTTTTTGTCTAAGGATATAAAGAAATCTTTGTCCTACACAAAACAACAAACAAATTAAACTTGTTGTTTTGTTTTGTTTGTTTTTTCCCTAGCCAAATGTGGGAGCAAAGAGTTTCAACACAGATGGTCCCTGTGGTCATGTTCCTGAAAAGTGTCCCTGCTCTGATCAAAAGGCTTGGAATTCCCAGAGTATTTTGTGCATTAGCACCTAGCACTGTGGTAGTCTCATTACTGACAAGGGTTGTCACAGCTTCTAAAAAGTAGTAAATAAGCAGCCTCGGAGGAAGATGTATCAGCATGTCTTATGTAAATACTACTTAAGGTGGATCTCTGCTTATGGGCAAGGACTACACGTTCTTCAGAAAAGAAGTCCACTACAGAGGGAAAATCATGAAAAGAAAGAAATCACTTATGTAGCAACCTTTCATTTTGGTCTCTGAACAAAACTCCCCTGATAAAGCAAACTTCAAAATATGGCATTTACGAATTTATGCTGTTTGAATAACTTCATCTGAAAGAATCTTGCTACTTGCAGTCATACAGAGATTTGATTTTCTTTACTTGTGGCAACCTGCACAACTTGGTCTTTCAGTGGGTTGTGTCTTCATCTGGATCTCAGTGAATGACTCCTTTTTGTTTGATGCATTTATTTTGCATCTCATGTCTTCTGAAGATGCACATTTAATGGAAACTGCATAACACTTTAGTTCTGTTTGGTTTCTTTTAAAAATGCAGCCTAAGCTAAAGAATATATATTCCTAATGATGAAAAAAAATGAAGACAATAGGAACAGTGAATGCTGCCACCTGAAAACCAGAGATTTTGCACTACCAGATGAGACTGTGCCGAATATAAATTAGGAAGCAATTTGAGGATACTTACCTAAACTATCCTTCTATGATTAAGCTGGTGTAAGACTGTCTGAGAGAATGAGTCATGTTATTTCATGGCACGCTTGATGAAAGACATCTGTGTTGTGGGACTATGGTTCAGAACATCCTGCATTCTACTACAGCAGCATTCACCAAGTTGCATTCAGGTCCCAAGTGTGTTCAGAGTAGAAAATGTGAATAGCAAAGTGTGTGCTGCCAAGGAACTCAACACAAGCAGGAAGTAGATGTTACTGTATAAAATACCTCGCTGTGTGGCCAGCCTCTTAAAACCAGTGGCTTTTGGGTATTGAACTAGAGCATTCTTAACAGGTTCTTGATTTTCAAAACATGTGGCAGTTTCTTCTGACAACTGAGGCCTCTTCATAGGATCTTTCATCAGAAACACTTAAAATACCAGCCTCACTGAAACACCAGGCCCTAGGGGACTAACACTACAGAGCCTGTTTTGAAATTCCTGGCCTCACCATTTTACTGCCACAAAGTTCTAGTTGTCAGATGGATTTTCTCTTAATTTTGGATTAAATAAATCAGAAATGTATGTAGACATTATTCTCACTAGCATTCCTTTTGGCCCTCAGATTTCATCTCTAGTACCTTTTCAGCTTTTACGTTCTTTAAAACTGAAGTCACATGGAGAGACTTTAACACTGAAAGCAGTCTCTGTGCTCAGATTAGCAGTAAAAATGTGAAAAGAATTTATATTGACACAATAAAGAAAACATACTCATTCATTGCTTTTTGTTGTTCAGACGACACTGAAGAAATCTTGAAATTTCACCCTCCCACAGAGTTTAAGTATCAATAGAAACATGACCTTTTTGCAAGCTGTTTCTTTATCAAGAGGATTATCAGTCATGATTTATGGACTGGTGATTAGTAAGAGATGTATGCAATTCTTTGTAACTGTATAAGCTGCTGGGATGAGAAGAATTTAGAATCAGTGCCAGTTTAGCTGCACAGCATGGGTTTTATAACATCACTTTGGAGTGATCCCAGAAGGGCTTATTGTACAAACTACTGAACTATTATCTTTGTGGACTCAGAAAGCAAAAAGAAAACCACACAAAGCCCTGGGATCCAATGTAAACTGTACGTCAACCTTTCAAGGCACATTTTCATCAGGTTAGCACTTTTTCTTTTGCTGATTTATCAAATTCTTTGTATAGGATTCACAGCACTACATAAACTCCTTCTTAGCTACTTGAAAATGGCAGTCCCAACATGTCTTATGGTAACAACTTTCTTGGAAGCAACAATTTCATAGGTTGGAATTGCATTTGAAATACTCATTTCTTCCAAAGTCAGTCTTTACCAGCATGACAAAATTAGCATAATCTTGTTCAACCATCATTCATTTCTCCCAGCCCAGTAGGAAGAATTCCTAGAAATATTTAGGACTCTATAGCATGGAAGCTGCTTCTCAGTTTGTCCAGATCTTAGAGGTTATTACTAATATGCAATGTTTGTCCAGAAGTAACAAGATTTTCTTTCTATGGTTTTACAAGTGTTTTGGTGAGGGTAATAAGCCAAGAGAGGAACTGGTGATTCTGACACAGTGTTCCCAATTCATATTTGGTAATTGCTTTGAGAAAGACACAGAACTCTTAGTTGTATCACTCCTTGTTTAAGTTTCAGTCACTGAAAGACAGTTTCTAAAAATACTAGAAAAACCTAACTATTGAAATACAGTCACAACTCAAATGTCCAAGAATGGTAAGCAATTGCCAGCCACATCTTTTGCAAGCCAATTCCTTATCTGTGGAATTACCAATAGTTATAAAGACTGAACATGTTTCTTTGGAAGCATATTGCTCTCTAGCAGCCAATCTTTTAAATTTTACACTATATGTTCACAGCCACTCTTGATGGGTTCAGAATTATACAGGAGATACAGAGTTACACTAAACTGTGAGAAGCCAAATCTGTGTCTTCTTATAGCAAGGAAATCCAGCTTCATTTGCAGAGATCAGCAGGA